ATATAACATGATTACTTCTCTGAATGTTGACATATGTAAATATTTGCACTTCTCACTAACATGAGGACAGGAAGTATGTTATGTTTCTTAGATGTTTCCAGAATTCAGTTCGAAGTAGACTCTCCCTGAATGTTTAATTATGGTATTGCTCATTCATGCACTTAGCAAACACTTATCTGATGTTTATTATGCTCCAAGGACAAACAGTGAACAAGGCAGACAAAAATCTCTGCCCTCTCAGGTCTTCCATTAAAGTATGAAAATTATAAAGATTTCAGGCAACATTAGATACAATGGAAAATAAAACAAGAGAAAAGCCTTTTTAAAGGGAGGTTATTTGAGCAAAGACTGAAGGATGTGAGAGGGAATACTACGTGGACCATTGCACACAGGAAGAAGCACAAACACAGGGCCCTTTCTTTAGCCATCAACTGGTCAAGGGGACCCAGTGGCTGAGAGAAGGGAGGTATGAGAGTCAGTGGAGGGGTTTTAACAGGCCTGTGACCTGATATAATTTCTGTTCAAAGGATACCACCCCCATGGCTGCATTGAATACATTTTTAGGATTGGGGAGAAAGAAAAGAGAGGGGAACAGACACCAGCCGGGAAGCCATTGCAATAGTTGATGTGAGATATTATAGTGGCTTGGGTTGAATTGGTACGAGAGGAAGCCTTGAGGGAGTTTTGGATTTGGGACCCATATTGAAGGGAGAGAGACAGAACTTGTTGATGAATGTGTGAAACACCAGGGACAAAGACTAGCTTTGGGTCTACAGAACTGGACAAATAATGATGCCATTTGTTCCAGTGAGAAGTGAGAGGTACAGTTTTGAATAGGATATGAAGGTGTCCAATTTGATTGTGTTGAGCTTGAAATGGGTATTAGAGATCTAAATGGGGAGGCAAGTGGATGGTTGAATATTCACACCTGGAGCTCAGGGGAAATGTCCTGGAGGGGATGGTTGACTTGGGAATATGGATAGAAAGCCATCAACTAGAAGTATTAAGGGCTATGGTAGGAGTCAGAGTGTTGAAGATCATGGTCTTGGATAAACCATCGTTTAGGGTGTAAACCCAAGAAGAAGATCTTCTTGAGACTGCTGAGCTGTGGCTGGAGTAGGAGGGACAGCTGGAGAAGAGTTAAATGTTGAAGATTCCGAGAAAGGAAGTCACCTAAGAAGTGGGAGATCCCATTTCCATCTGCAGATGAAAGAACAAATTCAGCTCTACAGCCTGTGAGGCACTCAAGTCATACAACCAGTTATAAGTCCCCTGTTCGGTTCCCAGGCCTGACTGGAGAGGTAAGTCCCTCACATTCCATACTTCAAAATCTTCCTTCAGAATGATAGTGGAGAACAGATTGCTGCAGGATGGGGATGAGAGACCTTTCACCCTTCCCTGCTCTGTGTAGTGAGTAAAGGGAATGCTTTTGTTTGCTTCAGCATGTCCTGGCATACCTGGTATCCCACTTTAACCTTCAACATTTTTATTCGATGAATTCCACCCAAGAATTGCACTTTGAGGGCAGTTTTTTTTTTTCTGTTTTCCTTCCTGACCTGATATTCTATCCCAAGAATTCTACGCAACCCAAGGACCTCAGACACTGAAAAGAAAAACCAGAGGGTATCGGGAATAAATCACACCCAAATCTGAAATCCAGAGCTTTAAATGAATATTTGAATGCAAACCAGAAGAAGGCCATATTAAGACACAGAGATGATGGAAGGTAGAGCATCTCTGGAGCAAATGTGAAAGTCTTACTCTTTGCCAGCTGTTCACTAAATACTTAGCAGATATTCATATGTCTAATATGTAAGCCAGTAACATTAATTTTACTACCCATGAGTAAATTAACATGGAAAGATTTAAGAAAGTTGTTGCAACATGAATAGTTTGTGACTGAAGCACAATCTAGATCTAGTTATTGGGATTCATATTCCACAAGCACAGCCGTTTTGTCCATGGCCTCTGATTGCTCACCAGATAACAATTGGCAGGATGTGGTGCTAAACTGGACAGACAATTGAAGGTGGCTTGTAAAACGTTAATTTCTGTTTTTTTATCTGTATTTCTGTATTTTCTGTGTTGTCCAAAATACTCCTGAATTCTTGGATTTAATCAATCTCTCCTGTCTCTGTCTCCTAATTCCTAGAGCTAAGGGTATGTACGACTCCAGGCTGAATCTGAGACAGAGAAGGCTGAAAAATATTTTAGTGAATGGAGATGCGATTAATTGTATTTGTGGTTCGTGTGTGTGTGTGTGTGTGTGTGTGTGTGTGTGTGTGTGTGTGTGTAGCTTAATGTGTCTATGCATATTTATATGTCTATATGTGTGTGGAGTTTGGGAAGGAGAAAAATGCATGCATCAAAGTGTTTTGATGATGTTCTTAGCTGCTCTTTCCAGCGGGTCCTACATGCTATGAGGGATAGGGCAGAGATTCTAAAAGGCAGCAAGGTGATGTCAGTTGAGTTTCCATAGTTCATGCATAACATTTCTCTGATCCAAGAATAATACTGACAGATTGGCACATCTTCCTTTTTTCCTCCTGATAACCTGTATATATAATCTACAAAAATACCTATTCAGTTACATTGTGATGTGGTTATCAAATCAGCAGGTTGATCCAGTTGATGAGGGAGAGGGTAGAAAGAATAACAGGCGGCAAGAATAATAAGGTGTTCCACAGGAAACAAAGATGAGGGATGTTTGGGGACTTTCCTCAGTCCCTGTGCAGCCCACTCAATTGTTCACGTTCATTCAGGACTCCTGGGGAGATAGATACAATTATTCACTAAACTCTAGAAAAGAGGCAATTCCTGCTTCCTCATTCCTGAGGATGGGGGTTCTATCTTTCCTTCTCCTCCTCTTTTCTCCTCTCTCTTTTCTCCTTCCCCAATGCAGAGAGAATTCAGACCTCAGAAGGTAAGCTGTCCTTAACTAAGGCTTTATTGTCGTGTTAAACATCAGAATCATGGTTGCCTCATATTAATGTAAGAATGAAAAGGCAACCCCACTCAGCTATTTATTTTATTTTTTTCTAAATAGGGGAAGGAGCTAGTTTGCTAACTAAATAAGTGTTACCAGAATTCAAATAGGTGATAATTGCAAAAGAAAGTCTAAATGGGTTTTTATTTTGCATTGAAGAGTGAAAAAGTCATTGGTGTTGAGAATCATGAGGATTCTAACTCTTTGTCTTCTAGGATGCAGAGGAATATTTTGGATTCTTGAAAGTCTGACCCAAACTAGCATTTGCATTCACTCATGATAGAGCTAAGCCAGCTCAGTAAACCCTCCTCATGCTTGTACTCATAGACATTCTGCACTTACACCTCTTACACAGAGAATGCAATGGCTGTACCACCTAAGACATCTGCTTATGTGATGGGCAAGAACAGATAGGAGGTGGGTGTTACCTCTGTAGTGTCCTAACCCCAACCTTACATCATCAACCATGTCACTTAGACTCGTCATCTTCAATGCAATAAAGCTGACCTTCACTGGGTTCCACCTAGACAGATCTATGGCAGCCCCCTAGTCCCTTGAGCAGGATATCTACTCCCTGCTGGTGAGACAGAGTATAAACTGGATGCAGGCGCACCCTGAGGATGATGAAAATTAAGTACAGTGATAACATAAGAGAACGCTAGGGACTGATACATTCGGTAACCTCCTGTAATGAAGACCTCCATCATGGGAACAATGGTGATAAATGTTTTTGTTCTGTAATATGGGAACACTGGATCTAGTTTCTAAATCTGGATGACAATGGTCCTTCTAAAGTCTAACCTAATATTTAATAATTTCTCTAACCTAATGTTAGCTAGTGCTTCTGAGTGTTTACTATGTGTTAGGCTCTGTCCTTATACTAATCTATCTCATCCATCCATCCATCCATCCATCTATCCATCCATCTATTATCTATCTACCGTCTATTCATCTTCTGCCTTTCTATTCATCCTAAAGATTGTACTCAAGTCCTAATACAATCTAGACAACTACTTTATCCTCACCCACTGATTTACATTAATACAGCAACTTAACTGATTCTTTTTTTTTTCAAGACAGGGTTTCTTTGTGTAGTTTTGGTGCCTGTCCTGGATCTTGCTCTGTAGACAAGGCTGGCCTCGATCTGCCTGGCTCTGCCTGGCTCTGCCTCCTGAGTGCTAAGATTAAAGGCGTGTTCCACCACTGCCCAGGAACTTCACTGATTCTTAGAACAAATTTGATAATAGAAAAAAAAAAAAAAGATAGCATCAAACCTACTTTACAGGTGAGGAAACTGAGCCATAAAAAGGATTGTGTGACTTCTTGGAATTAATTAGCACAATTAAAACAAAGCCATAGCTCTTTCATCATGCTGCTAGGCATTTCTTCCTCTAAATATGACATGTTACTATTTCATTGTGAATCACAGAATAATAGAGGACAAAGAAACACAAAGTTTGTAAGAAGACTTTCTCAAATGGCTTAAACAACAATAACAGATTCTCAGTTCTGTTTTCTACATTTAAAGCAGATTTTTGGAAACTTAGACTTATTAGGGGAAACAGAGTCACTCAGGAGTTAATTCCCATTGGCATTTTATTTAATTTTTGGTGGGGCAATTGCTTTTTTTTTTCCTCTGCAGTAGGAAAACATCGCTGTTGTAAGTGGAGGTCGCAAATGTGAACAGACTCTTAAATGAAAATCGTATGGGGTACTTAGCATTCTGAGAAATATTTGAGTCATTATGTTGCAGTTCTAAAATTGAATCAATGCTATATTTAATATGGCACAACAGGCCATGAATTATTGCACATTAATTCATACCCAGTGTGTTGCTAGGCACATGGCTCAAAGCTGAGTGCAGTCAATGCAACTAAACATGAATACACCATAATTCACACACAGGAGGGTCCCACTGTAATTATAAAAGGCTATTATAAAAGGTTATTTAAAATATCTAGCTATGTTAAGTTTTAAATCTATACAATTTGTGATACAAGGTATTGTCATATACCTTCTCCTTGGCCCCACAGCCTCAAGATTTGCATGTTAAATCCTAGGTCATTAGTTTCTCATCAGTAGACTTTGTAAGGCTAGAAATGTTAGCCTTTGGTTTTCAGTTTTCATTTGAGAGGGAAAAAAAATCAGAACTTCCTCTTATGCAAGGAGTGTCATGCCGAGCTGAGCAGAGCAACATTTCTAATGAGAGGATAAGGGCTAAAAATTCTCCTGCAGCCTTCCTGGAGACAGAATGCAGCCAAGCTGGAGCACGGAGCTGGGTGCCCCTTCCTCCCCAGGCGGATGCTAATGGACGCACAAGGAGGAAGGCACAGAGTCTCGATGCTGGTATATAGATGGGGGATGTGGGTGAAGGAGACTTAATGAAAGGAACGCCTTGATCTGCTCTGTGCTCACACTGAAAACTATGACTTTTTGGTAGAAAGATTTGCATAGTGTTGGTAATTGTCGATGAGGTATTTTCAGGAAAATCTAACGTATTGTGAAAATGTTTGCAGAGTGTTTCCTTCAAACTGCCTGGGTACAGCTTCTAGAGTCCTGGAGTAGAAGGGAAGTGGGCAGGACTCCTGAGCAAAGAGATCATGGTCCTTCTGGTCACCCACTCTCTGGCTCATGCCTGAACACGATGCTAAATGAGCATGGTGCCCCCTGTGCAGTAAAACTTCATTTTTACATAACATTTAAAATAATGAAATATTCAAATAGGAAAAATGGCTGACTGGTTCTTAGGAGATGTTTACACTTATTGGTGCTTGTGTAGCTGACTATTGTAAAATGGATAAAAGAAGGGAAACGGACATTTTCTCTCATTGCTCACCAGTATTTCTTCTTTTACTAAGTTTATAAAAACAATATTACCTCTGTTTTCCCAAAAGTCTATTTTGTACTTATCTTACTACATTGTGGTTGAATGATCTATATTAATAAAGCATATTGTAAATTTTACAATGATATCAGCATAATAGCTAGGCTTAAATACTATTAAAAGCAGAATAAGAAAGGATTTTGCTAAAATTAATGGACTGAATCTAATTTACATTTCTATTACCAAGGCTAATTGTAAGAGCTCCCACCTTGATTAGAATCTTTAGTAAACAAAAATATGCTCAGATTTTATGAGTGTTTGAATTTCTGATGTATTACAGGAAATTAGACTTGACCAAGCCATTCGTCTGTTCAAATCAAGCGTGGAAAATTGAACTTTATTGAACAGGTACAAATTAAAGAATATGGTCCTAGGTGTGCACACATAAATGATATTTTAATTACAGATACTGGATTTAAATATCATTCACACTAAAATGCATTAAAACTGGTCAAGATCTCTCAGTAATCTACAAATGAAACACACATTTACACTGCTGTTTTTGTTTTTTACCTGGAAGACAGGCTCTCAAGACTTCTGCAACACACACCAGTCTCCTGGAGAACTTGTCCGAATATGGCTGCTAGGCCCCATTCCTAGACTTTCTGCTGCAGTGGATACAGGTGGAGGCCAGAGCTGGAAACTACCGACTACCCCACTGACAACGATGCTGTTGGTCAGGGTCTCACTTTCAAAAGCAGTGAGGGACTGAGGGACTGCCCCCGCCCCCTCCTGCCACTAGCACTCAAGTTGGTATTTGTTGAGCCCAGCAGTGACAGATTTGGGGTTGATTTATTTTTTTGACTAATAAGGCAAGTGTATAGGTCTAGATCAAAAGAAGAATAGCCAATAAAGAACTCCTTCTGAGTTTCTGCCCTCGTGGGCTCTAACAGTGCAAAGGTTTCCATCCCAGCTTGGATGTAGGCAGTTCCTCATATGTGAAGAATTGTTTCTTTTGAGTGTCTCGCAGGAGGTAGAATATCCTCCTGTGTGTGCAGGGAATTAACTCTATGTGTCTGAGCTGAGGTACCAACTAAACTCTTATTATCGCCTACTTGTAAGAAAACATTTGTCCCTAGTAAATCATAGTTAAAATTTGTGAAGGAACTTTACATCTCCAAAGAGCTTTTACATATATTATCTCATTTAATCCTACACAATATTCCTATAAAATCTTCAATACTATATATATATATATATATATATATATATATATATATATATATATATAATGTTTTTTGAGACAGGATTCCTCTGTGTAGTTTTGGTGCCTGTCCTGGATCTTGCTCTGTAGACAAGGCTGGCCTCGAACTCACAGAGATCCTCCTGGCTCTGCCTCCGGAGTGCTGGGATTAAAGGCATACGCCACTACCACTCGGCTCATTACAATAATTTTAAAGGTATGTTCTTGCTAAGTCATATAATTAGTATATAGTTGAGTTAGAGGCTAAGGCTCTTGGGATCCTTTTTTATGTTTGTTATTTTTAATTATACATACACACAAACACACACATATGGCCAGGTAGGTGCATGTGTGTGCAAATGTTCTCAGAGGTTAGAGGCATCAGATCCCTCTGGAGCTGGAAGTATAGACAGATGTGCATGGCCAGATGTGAATGCTGGGGATTGAACTCTGGTTCTTTGATAGAGCAGTGCTTGTCAGAGAGATGCTCAGCCATCGACTCTTTTTTTTTTTTTATTTTTTTATTTTATTTTTTTTTTTCGAGACAGGGTTTCTCTGTGTAGCTTTGCGCCTTTCCTGGAACTCGCTTTGGAGACCAGGCTGGCCTCGAACTCACAGAGATCCGCGTGGCTCTGCCTCCCGAGTGCTGGGATTAAAGGCGTGCGCCGCCGCCGCCGCCGCCGCCGCCGCCGCCGCCGCCGCCGCCGCCGCCGCCGCCGCCGCCGCCGCCGCCGCCGCCGCCGCCGCCGCCGCCGCCACCACCACCACCACCACCACCCGGCGCCATCGACTCTTGAATTTGTGTTCTTTCTTTTTGCTCAGCGTGAGACAAATAGGACATCTGACTCTTTCTTGACACTCCAACCACTGGCCCCAAGTAGTCGTTGACCCATCTTCTCCGAATTTCCCGGGCTGAAGAACTGGGACTTGGATTTAAAATCTTACCTGATCCCTTTGTCTCAATGTTTGACACTTTCTTGCTTCACTCTTTCCGGGTTTAACCTCTGACTTGCTGAGGTGATTTTTACTTCTGACCTGCAACTGAAGTTCCCTTACACCGCACAGGGCACATGGGACGGTCTCAGGCATCAGGCCATCTTGGTTCCTGAGTCAGAAAATCCCATCCCTTGAATACATTTATTCCTTGGATTTAAGTCCAAGATACAGTGGTAAAGAAAGCTGACTATGGTCTTATCTTAAAAAGCAAATCAGCTCATAGTTAACAACAGAAGCTTCTTCACGTCGATGCCAAAACCCAACTCTTACTCAGGGGGACCATCTTGGTTTCACGGTTCACAGGTCCTTTTGGATATTAGTCAATAAAATGTGGAGCAATATTAGGTTCTGGATCTTCGTGCCAGTCTGAGTATAGGTTCCTGGCCTTAGGGAGGCCCTTAGTATTTGCTCTAGGCTCTGTTTTCCCCTCTTCACTCTTTTGGTTATGTAAAACTGATTTAATCTTCAGTTGTCCAAAGTGCCAGCTTTACAAATGCAGGAACAGAAGAAAAATGATGCACCCAGTGGCCTCAATTATCACAGATATCAGTACATACCATTAGGAGGAGGAAGAATACATGGCGTGTCTGTCTGACTAAAGAAATGCCAGTGATGAAGGCAAAGTGGAGCCACCAGAAACAAGAGGGCTGAAGTCACCTTCAGGCCCATGGAGAGTTAATATTAGCCCTCTTCACACATGAAAAATAATAATTAACACTGCTTGTCAATTAATGCCAACTTAAAGAAAGGCCCTACACTTAGATTAAGTGAGGAGCATGGGTTGCTTGAAAACAGCAAGAAAGGAGGAGGGAGAGGGGTATAAAATAATGGAAGAGATAAGGTGGGAAAGGGGAATAATTAAACACACATGTACTTGCACAGAGTTGGGGCACTCATATTTCTAATTAGAATTTCAATGCAGGAGCCCAATTTAACCTCAGGGAGTCTTTATATTCATGTCACTGGTGTACACAGCAATCAATCCAACTCTGGCATCTCTCTTGCAAGTTGGATTTTCCTATTACATTAGTGGAACCCCAGTCTCTGTATCTTTAATGGATATTTTCTTTATAGAGCTTTAGTAAGTGTTTTGTCTTCTAGAAAATTCTATTCTGAGAGGAACAATAGCCACTTAGATACTGGAATTCAAAAGAGTCAGTGGCTTTCTGACATTAACCCATTTCTTCCTTCACAAAGGCAGTCACGGTGCATTTGGAATCACTGTCTATCAGTCCACTTGACTGAACTTGGAGGAGTAGTCGTCGCATATTCAACCAAACAGCAGTGGATGGTAGACAAGAGAATCCAGAATCATCTACCTCTTGTGGCTGGACAGTCAGCAACTAAAAAACCCTATCTTCATCCCTGATATTCAGCTTTTCCAAAATCTTTGAAATGGAATTTTGACCGGTTTTCCTTTCTATTATCTCCAGAAGATTCATAGCTAACTAATAACTTCTGTGTCTGGAATATATAGAACCACTGCCTAACACACTCTGTAACTAAAGAGGTAGGTGTTCTAGTAATCTACCTTCCCATATAAGAAGCAGACCAGAAATGCTCAATATTTTGCTCCCAAACTAATGCTTAGTAGGAAACAATTTTAACTTATACCATAAAACATAGAACTCTGCATACTAAGTCCTCTCAGAGGGGAGTTTGTGAAGTTCACACTCTTACTTTTTAGATAAGCCCTTCATTCACTTAACAATCCTATATTATTTGGGGGGCTGAAGAGCATAGAGACTATTACACAGCATTCAATGTGAATACCAGAATGCCATTCATTTTGGAGGGGACTTAGATCATGGGCATCCTTGAGATATCCTCATCCATCTACTGGGAATGGGAAACCTTCCAAAGAATTGGGCCCCGTGCTTCAGGAGCTGAGGGAACACTGAGTAGGTAAACGTAGGAATCCCACCTTGGAACCTGAAAAAACTCAAGTCTTGTGCACTAATCAAGGTTTTCTTCTATAAACAGAACAGATACATGTAATTTCTTATGGGAACTGGATCAGCTAATTATGGAATCCAAGAAGAACAGAAACGTTGTATGTACAAGCTGGAGAACCAGAAGTCTGAGGCCCAGGAACAGTACTTGATGTAGAGGTGGTACTCTTAGTCTTCAGAACCAGAGTCAGGAACTTTTTATGTCTAAGGGCAGCAGAAAATAGATGTTCCAGCTCAAAGAGGTGGGGGTGGGGAATGAATTTGCTTTTTTTTTGAGCTGGAGGTGGGGAATGAATTTGCTTTTCTTCCTTTTTTTTTTTTTTTTTTTTTCTGTTCTGTTTCACAACTTGGTGAGGGCAGATCTTCCCTTGTTCTAATGATTTGGATTCATAGTCTTGATCTGATAGTCTTTCTTAAGTGCAAAACAAAGAAGAAAAATGGTTCACTCTCACAAAGAGAGAGAACATACTGTTTCCAATAAAGAATAAACACCAAACTGGAAGAACCAGCTCTAAGCACCAGAGGCTAGAATACAACAGAGAGTATCTCAAGACTACTAACAAAAATAAGATGCTTCAACAAAACTACCCTCAGCCAAGATTGTGCACTTTTATTTGAATATAAGTTGGCTGCGGGTGCATGGTCTTACAGTCTCAGCCTTTGGGAGTCTGAGGCCAGAGAATCTTGAGCTGAAAGCCAGCAGAGAATATATTATCTTTAAAACACATCTAGGGGAAAAGCCTCAAGAAAACTTTTATATCAAATGAGGAAAGACTATGAATTATGGAATTGTGTTTCTATGTGTGTGAATGTGATAACGTGTGTGATAATGAGTGTGTTTGTGTGTGCATGTGACTGTATATGTGTGTGTATGAATAGACAATGATAGGATGAAGGGATACAAGTTATGTAAGTGCTAAGGATTCTTGAAATAGAACTAATGCGAAATTGGGGATGTGGGTGCAGCAGGTGGGGTGCAGAAAAGAGGAAGTAATGCATTGTGATGAACAGGGACTTGGTCGAGTCAGAGTGAATCCTGTTTATGATTTTGATAATTTGTTCCTCACAGTTTTTTTGCATTTATTTAAAAATACTGCATTAAAGTAGCTTTTATTTTGATTATGGAGTTAGTTGGTTATTTCTGTTCAATTTTGTTCCAAACAAACACTCAATTGCCTGTCCTTATTCTCAACTGGTGTAGCAAATAAGAAAGCAGGAGAGCAGAAAACAGGAGTCACAGGCCAAGAAGGAAGAGGCTTCTGAGGAAGGTAGCACCTTAGGGGCGCCTGCCTCACCAGAGCAGTCATCCAGGGTAGGCAGGGAGGGGAGGTCTGAATTTGAGGTTGGGTGAGAAACCACAGATGTTGATAACAATTAAGCAAAATACTGTTTCAGAAACAAGAAAGTCAGTTGTTAAAAATTCCTGCAAGTCCCCCCTCCCCCCAACCACTAGGAAAATTTCCTACCAAGAAACCTCACACGGAGCTGGGGCCTCACCCAAAGCAGACAGCTCTCTACTTATCTCGGGCTGCTGAAGCAGCTTGGAGAAGAAAATGGCCTTTAAAAAGAGCTGTCTAAGAAGTCCATGCCTCCGTAGATGTCTCAGAGCCAGAAAAACAACGCAGCCTTTCAAAGATCGCTGTTGTCTCGCTCTCACGTGGGTACCCTGCCATAGAAAATGGTGTTCCCTGTCCCACACAGCCTTCATATCGCACACGCACTTCTAAAGGAATAAAAATAGGGAACTTAGACCCCCCCCATCCACCCTTTAAGGCCCTCTTAAGACCAGACTCCATTTAGGTCCTGCTCTTCCTGTACACACTTTGCGAAGGGTTGCCAAGGAAACCCGAAACAAAGACGACTCCATGCACTCAGCCAGGAAAACGCACCCAGCACCTCAAATCTTTATACATTACTGAAGATCGACAATCTTTCTCCCTTTTTCTAACTGCAGTTTTAAGATCAGCCTTAAAGCATCCCTTTTCTTTAAGTCAGGGATGTAGTCAATGGAGAGGGTTTCCTCTTATCTTCTGGCTACTTTTCAAGTGTTTTTGCCATTATTTCACAGTTTATGTATTCAAAAGTAAACATTACAATAATAGCAACTCTTCATTTGAAGAAAGTGAGGGCTTAAATAACAAATTAAGAAAATGCAGTTTTCATTCCATATTGACTTCGGCAGCGTCACCTCTAAGAAATATTGCTGTTGCTTGTATGTTAATTTTAGAACTCCTGACTGTCAGTGCATCAGTTCTCCTGTTATTATTCCTCAGGATGCAGAACCAACTGACCTGCTAACACCTAGAAATCGTCTCTGTGTAAATTGGCTGGTTGTGGAAGCTAATTGTCATAACTGAATAAGGGTCATTTTCAACATTGCTAATTGATATTTTCGATTCATCCATTAAGTTGCCTTTCTGCATCATGTTCTTAAGAAAGGAAATGTGTATAAAGCAAGAGACTCGGGGAGGGATGGTGGTGGGTAAATATCCTGATACTCAGGGACCATGGGAGATATGCTTGATGAAAAATCTAACAGATGTTCCTCTTTTTCCTCTTCTTCTCCCTCTTCTTCTTTTTTCTTCTTCTTCTTCCTCCAAACAAAATAGACTTTGTAAACAGAGGGTACCAAAGTGCTGTGAGTTTATTGAGCCATATGCAGGGACAAAGCATATAGACCTCGAGTCTGGGATTTGGTAAAGATAGTCATGGAACTATGATCAGAATCCGGGAGCCTGCAATGTGCTTTCCAAAAAGACACAATTAATATTTCCTATGAGTTTCTCGTTCTTAAGAACACCATTTTCCTGACCAAGTCCTGCCCTAACGTATTGTTTTTGAGAAACTGCACAGTCTCCTGGGAAGAGATGAATGCAATGCTGTGAGAAACAGAAGGGCACACCACTGGCACCTGAGTTGGGAGGCAGCCCAGGGAGGTCGCACTTGGGAGGTGCGGTAGCTATCATGTGATAATCATATCCTTGGAGAATCACAGATCAGAGCAGTACCTCTTGCCTCACAATGCCCTAGGGTGTGATTATCTTATGATAACCATCTTAAAGATGTCTTTTTTGCTCAATTAACACATATTTCCATGAAAATTAGCTATCAAGATGAGTTACAAAATACAGATATTTAACATGACAGGTTAAAATAGTACAGATGTCTTCATCCAATTACTGCAATTTGCACTCTGGACAAGGGAAACTATTTGGCTGAGTGACTCAAGTTGCTAACCTTTATGGTTTTGTAATTGTATATAGCTATAAGATTTTCTCATATTGGGCAAACTCTGTATTTCCACTGATAAAACTGTGTCTTTGAAAGGCAGACAGAGGCAGGTTTATATGAGTGTCTTTGTCTCCCATCAATTTGTTTTGCTTGGACCTGCCATTTTACAAACCTTCCCCAGGAATCCCTCTATGTTTTCTCAACCATTCTGCCGCATGCAACTGTAAGAAGCCAGGCCATTTGTTTTGTGAGCCCTTGCTGGCAGAGAGCAAAATATACTTGTCACAAGCACACATGGGCTGGGAGGATTTCTTGAGCAAAAAAAAAATGGGGCAACAAAACTGAATGAAACTTTGTGCAGTAGAAGTCAGTATCGATCTGAATCCTCCTGGTTCCTGGTAGATTGCTGTAATATCTCAGCCGCAATATCTCTTCGGACTGTGCTCCTTGTTGGAGAGCGACAGAATTCACTCAGATGGTCTGTAACTCTCTTTCTGGTGTTAATATTCCGAGACTCTGAAGTAAAAACACATACAACCTCCTGGAAGATAAGATGCTTACCTGGCTAGCCACTCCTTAAACTGGGTGTCTAGGACAGTGGCTGTCTGCTGCAGTCAGTGGGAGCTGACAATGCCTGAAGACGTTTTTGGTTGTTATAACAGTGTTGTTTTTTTTCCTGACATATAGTGAGAAGAAGCCAGATAAGCTGCTAAAGGCATAGGACAACTCTGTGCCCCTCATGTGCGAAGAAATATCCAGCCTCAAATGTCAAGTGCTTAGATTGGAAAAGCCCAAACTAGGGCAAGATTTTTAAATATCCTTATTCCTTAGTTGCTTCATCTGAAACAATGGAGATCACACCAACCTAACTGGGTTTTGGCAAGGATCTGTTGAACAAAATGCGTGTGAACCAGAACCGGTTACCACAGCCTGGCATGTAAGAATTACCAGGTGTCCATAATGATCATTGTTGTAATACTTAATCGGGCCAATAATACTTTCCAAAATATTTGCTGTACGTGTGGAAGGAAAATGATTTCAAGCCAAATTTTTAGTGACAAATATGCTAATGAACCACAGAGAGAACTTCCTGGGTCTCAGAAGGAGTCACAGGGCTTCTCACAGTGTGCTCTGCTAGACCCTCAGCACCAGCATTGCTGGAGAATGCAGTAGACATGCAAACACTTAAGCCCCAGGAAATAGTTTCAGCAAGTCCTCCAGATGACTCAGGTGCGAGATAAGGTTGAGAATAACTGTTTCACCATATACTAAGTGGGAACTGGGTCTCACCCTTTTAATCACTCCCAACACCTGGTTGAGTGCCTAGTATGTGGTAGGTACTTGCAACATGATTAAATGGGATGAAAAGCTAATTCATAGCAAAGCCTGATCCCACACTTTTGACAATTGTTGCCACAGCTTGGCATTGACTGGTGTTGACAGATACAACGGAGTTACACCCACCGTCCTTAGCGCTCTGGGTCTGCCTGTACCAGGTGTAAGGCAGCATGCCTGTGGGCTAAAGAGGCCACTTGTGCTTACAAGTTGAGACCTGCCGGCACAACTCAAGTGAGCTACACCTTAGTTAGGGCCAAACAGAAGGAGAGGGTTCATTAGGAATAATTAAACTCAAATGAAACAAACCCAGGGGTTCAACACAACTGCAATTGTGGCTGTCATCAATTCATTCTGCTATCGCTATTGTTTGAGGAATTTGGGAACTCACAGGTAACTATTTTGAGGATGTTTCTATGTTCATTTAGCTTACTGGTATAAATGTAATTTTTGAAATCCCCTTTTAATTGTTCAGAATTGAGTCACCTTGTTATAAGTTACATCATGTTCAGAATTAGGCTACCTTGATATAAATTACATCATGGAAGCATTGGATTAGGTAGACAACACAGTCTTTTGAACTGAAAGCCATCTTCCCTTATTTCATAAGTCTAGAAGAGGGATTCATATAAGGAACACTAAGGAGACATGTTAAAACTCTGAGGCAACATGTCTAAAGATAGGTTTTAAAATTACAGAA